CAGGAGGGGGGGGGGGGGGGGGGGGGGGGGCACGGGGCAAGAAGGAAGACAGCTGAGAGGCAAGCGCACTTCACACACCGCCTGCCCCCGGGCTGCCCTCCGACGAGGCAAAGGACGGTTGGGAAGTTGCCAGCCCCCTCCACCGCCGCCCCTTTTCCCCCACCCCTTCCAGTGTGCCAGAGGAAGGGGGCACCTGCAGACAAAAACAAATCCTGTGCAATCAAAATTCCCCATAACCTACAAGGACCCAAAGGGGAGGCTTCTGGAGGACCCTGGATTGGTTGGCGTTAATCCCCCCCCCACGTGAAGGAAAACAAAGGGGGCTTTCGAGTGATTTCGAAGGTTAATGGAAGTTCCCTGAAATTACGCCCCCAAGAGCAAGCAGGCCTCCCCAGTTCTTCTGCCAAGGCTGATTTCCCGAGGCCAGCCCAGAACGCAGTGGCACCAAAACAGAGCTGCCCACCACGGGCCATTTCACAACCTGGCAAAATTTACTCTCCCAACAACAGAAGAAACGGTGACAGAGGGGAGGGGGTTGTCTATCCACCATATATGTGGCCCTCCCCCCAATTCCAATCAAAGCCTCTCTCTGGTGAACTGTGAGCCCTTCCGTACCTATTGCTAAAATTTATGGCAAATTTTCCTCCAGAGCATTCTTCTATTTACAGAATTCTTAAACTCTGTCCGAACTGGGCTGGAAACAGCATGTCGCCATTTCCAGCCTTCTCTGCCCCTGCCAGAGCTTTCGCACATCTTAAGAATGAGGAGTAAAGCCTCACAACTAGAAGGCTTTACTTGGGACTCACAACAAAACGTTGCAGCACAGACCACCCCAGATGAGGACCCTCAATTCCATTCATCTTCTTTACAGTCCCACCCTACCCCACCTCATACCACTATGTTCTTGTCCTCCAGTAATTAATCTGTATGCCAGTTCTATTGAGTAGCACCAAAACGTTTTCCAGGCTCCTCCAATGATGAAGATGTTGATGCTGATGCTGATGATAAAAACCTTGAGATTTTTCTCCAGACTCTTGGGCACTAAAAACACTATTTTGGCACACCGAGAACTGAGTTTTCTATTAGGGTGGGTGCATGCAGATGCTCTGTTCAGAGATGCCCATACAAGAAAGTTGGGGACTAAATTAGCTTCTAGAGAGCCAAGTATTCTCACTAGCTTAGCATTCCAGATCCTCCTCAAACATTTAATTAAAGGGCCTGCATCATTTGAACCTAATAGTGAAATTCATTAAACAAGTGCCCAATTCTGCCACTTTTACTAATGAAACTTCGGTGGATGCTTGGATATGGAGATACGAGATTCACAATGTATGTCTTAAAACACAAAATATATCTGTGCCAAAGGAACAGGGGTGGGTGGAGGAGAAGCAAGATCTGTCAAGTTGGAAGCTCATCAACCAAGTGGGCTTCCAGTTGGTCATTCAGAGGTACCCTGGTGCAGCTGGGGAGCCCAGAACAACCTCTAAGAACAAGAAGGTCTGACTCTGGGCCTCTCTAAACATCCCAGACAGGAAAGCCACCTGGTTGACATCTCGGAAAGAGCTTAGATAGTCTAGTTTTCGTTTCTCTGCAGGGCAGAACACAGAGCTCCTGATTTGAATGCCTTAGCATATACGCGAACAGAATCCCCAGCCTGCACCATATTTCTGTTTCTTGAGTAATCTCTGAGCCACGTATGGCCACAAATCACGTCCTCCACCAAGAATCAAGAAACTGCAGCAGCTGGGCTGATCGCTAAATTCCCTCTCAATGTGGCCAGTGATGTGATATTAAAGACATCAATCCATTTCATTGTGGGTTTTATTCCTTTACAAATAGCAACAACAATTTCTTTCCTCCCTGGGTTTTTTCCTCAGCAAGTCCCACTGAAAACCCTTCCCAGGCGGTGTTAGCCCGAGGATAGAAACTTTTTAAGTGGCGCCGAAATATCTAGGACTAACAGGGGCTCTGGGAAGAGGGAAAAGGAGAAGGCCAGGAACAGAGTAGCCCCCTTCTTGGACACTGCAGCCCCACCAAAGGAAAAGCAGTGCGTCCGGCCCTTGAACAGCGCACCTGCTTTGGGCCTAAGCGCACCTGTCTGGGACATACCTGGGCTCCTGGGTGTCCAGTTTCAAGGCTTTACAACCAGGGATTTGGCAGGTTTTAATTCCAGAGCAAGACCAAACAGCATGAACTTTGGGAAAAGAGGGGAAGCGCGCGTGCGCACGCACACACACACACACGCACACACGCAACTCTAAACTTACCTGAATGAGCCAGTAAGTGCATCCGAAGGCGGAGGCTGTCAAGGAATCTTTTTCCGCACAATTCACACCCGTATGTCTTCATTGCACTGTGCAG